CCCGCACTGCGCCGCGCCGACATCGGTATATCTATGGGAATAACGGGATCACAGGTCCATTATATTTTTTATCATCATTTGCTACATAAGTATAACTGATCCCACTATAACTATTGGGTCCAAAAATATTATCTTCACATTCAATCGTGGAATATTCGATCATAATAGTTAGATACGATATTTTCCAATAGGTTTCTATCGTTAAATGTATTTATTTTTGTTAGGTATCGAAGCAGACGGCGGATATCATTTTAATGGATGACAATTTCGCTACGATTGTAATAGGAATTGAAGAGGGTCGCAAAATATTTGACAACCTGAAGAAGTCCGTGTGCTACATTCTAATATCCAACGTGCCTGAAATCCTGCCAGTTTTGATGTTTATCTTATTTTCTATTCCATTGCCATTAGGTTAGTTTTAAGAAATTTTTATATCTTCAACAGTATATGATTAGTAAAATGCTACAATATTCAAACAAAATCAATATGCGCTAAATATGGAAAAACGAAGCTACGGTACAGTCCTACCTGTATATGTTGTAGGTGTGATGACGATCCTGTGCGTGGACCTGGGCACGGACATGTGGCCGGCGGTGTCCCTGTCGTACGAGGGCGCGGAGGCGGACGTGATGGGCCGGCCGCCGCGACACGGCGACAGGCTCGTCTCCGCGCGTATGCTTTACCTCGTCTACGGACACCTCGGCCTCATCGAGTTCGCAGCGGGCATGTACGCCTACTTCACTGTTATGGCGGAACACGGCTTCTATCCTTCAGATCTCTTCGGTAAGAACATTTCGTAATCAATTTTGCCTTTTAACATACAATTATGAGGTACTAGAGCTTTTCAAGGAATCAATAAGTTTGGAAAACTATGGTTGAACCGAATTCCCGTTCGGAAGGGATGTAAATAATTTAACTAACATATCTATTAAAGGGTCCACCAAACCTCAGTATTCGCTCAGTTGTCTTCTGTTAGTTGCTTCCATTTATATTTGTTCAAGGTATAAGAGAGCGGTGGGACAACGAAGCGGTGACCGACGTGCGGGATTCCCTGGGCCAGGAGTGGACGTACGAGGAGAGGAAGGAACTGGAGCGCGCCTGCCAGGCGTCGTACTTCGTGGCCGTCGTCATCACGCAGATGATGAACGGCATCATATGTAAAACAAGATTTAATTCTATATTCGAAGTCGGTAAGGGTATTATTGACATTGTAAATTAGTACGGTACTAGTGTAACTTTGACGATGCTTATACTTTAAACATGACGACGGCTGAAATGTAACTTCAAGATTTGTTGTAGGAATGAAGAATAAAGTTTTGAACTTGGGATTGGTATTTGAGTTGTTGCTCGCTTGTATTCTTTGCTACGTGCCGGTCCTTAATGATTTTTTTTGCACGTATCCGCTGCGACCGCAATGGTGAGTTTCCTAAGCAAACATAAACTTTCGTCTACATTATTATGCACCTCAACTGTGGAAATGAAAGTTTCTTTGCATCAAACTGTTTTCCAATTAATACATCAATAATTTTCTTACGACAGACTTATATTCAAAAGACAAACACTTTTCAGGTGGTTTTTATCAGTGCCATTCGCATTACTGTTACTTGGTTTCGATGAGTTTAGAAAATACTGCATCAGAAAATGGCTTTTCGATGGATGGTATAACTATCTAACTTATTACTAGAGACGAAGTACAGCAAGAAGAAACGTTAAATAGATTCAAGTGAATATATATTTTAATGAAAACAGAGTATTTTTTTCCGGCTTAAATTAATCGAATGAAACAAAAACTTAACATAATAAATTTAATGAGCAATCAACATAAGATCACAACACAACATTTTACTATAGATTCTTGTCATTCAATATTAATTACACTAACAAATGATATGTACCTAATGGAATAAGGCACGACCAATTATTTACTTCATATTTAAAAACACAATAAAAACTTAAACATTTGAGTGCGTCTCACTTTAACATTTACAATTCAACTTTCAAATATTACTAATGAAAAATATGATACTTAAAGAAGTTTAATGAAAACAGATATTTGTTTACACACGAGGTACACGAGTAAAAAAAGAAAAGAAAAATAATAGAATAAAAATATCGTAATTTGAATGTAGACTTTCCTTAAATTTTCTACTACAATCATAGACTATTTTACTCTATATAATCTTTTAAGATATAATAAAATTTGAATTTAATACTATTATAAGATTTTATATAAAACATACAGGTATAAAGTCCGTAGGAAAGATTTCGAAGAATAAAAGGTTTTCACTATAGAACCCTGTCTACCTCTATAGAAAATTCTAGGATAGTTATACTAAATGTAGTCAAAACATGTAATTACAATAATAGTGTTTTAAAATTACAAATATTAAAATTGATAAGATAGAAATATAAGAAAATATGAAGAAAGAATATATTAATAATACTTATAATCTACGGTTTAAAAATAAAATTGCACATTCCACTAGTTATCTTGAAATTTAAATAAGCTACTAACGTTTTTATTATTATGATATTTTTTATTTCTTTGCCATAGATCAACATTATCTTTTTTAAAAAATAGACAAAATATTACAGATAGATTTAAATTTTACAAAATACTTTGAAAACTCTAAACAAATGTTAAGTAAAATTCATTTTTAATAAAATATATTAAAAAGGTCAAAAAACCTAGAATTGCATGCTAAATAAAACAAAAATAGTATATCCCATAAAATTTCAAATATATGCACATTACTTTTTACTTTTTAAAATACGATTTAACAAACAATAAGTACTTTTGGAACGAAAACGTTTTAAAAGTTGTATAAACTTTATATATAACCCTATGTATTCTAATGATATGAGGAGATATTTACTTTAAAATAATCATAACATACATATTTCTATGACATTTTTATTTGACTAGCTATGTTTGCGTCTTTTTTATTTTGGCACTAAAAACAAATAGGTCAATGTATTATATGTTGGGATTTTAAAAAGATTTCGTGTTTTTTTCTATGGGTTTTATAGAAACGACTTATTTCTTTTCTCTATTAAATTGCATGGTTAAATTTAAATTTCTATAAATTGTAATATGTTATATTTAAAACGTATACTAAAATTTATGCGCTTGTATACCACATATTGCACAACCAAATGACAAATATTTTTATTATAAATCAACCACACAAACTACTATTTTTCAAAACATATTTTTAATTACCTAACACATCACGATTTATCTTTTACTATTAATTAAAGAATTGAGCTCAACGCTTATCACGAAAATTAAACAAACCAAAAAGCTAAAGCAAAACAGAAAAACTGTCAACTTCGTAAATTACCCATACAATATATTTTAAATTCACAAAATAGTCTAAGTTTAAAACCGTCAATTCTTAACTCACGAATTCACATAAGAGTTCATTTGAGCTTTTAAAATTATAATTATTTCGAAATAGAAGTGTCAGATATATGAAAAAATTAAGTAACAGAGTGATTTAAGTAAAAGTGCCTAGTTTGTGGTTTGCCTGTTGAACGCAGCGCGTGCCAGTTGGGCGTGCAGCGCCGGGGCGCCGCGCAGGTCCGCGATAGAGTGCCGCGCCTTCATGAGCGCCTCCTCGCGGCACACGTTGTCGTGCAAGATACACTCCATTATCTTAGCTACAATTGTCGATGGTGGTACATGGGGATTCCCTGAAACGCATCATTCCATACAATCAATAAATTTATTTCACTATGCCTTACTTTAATTAACTCAGGGCACATTTTTTTTATAATAAAAGGGGGAAAATGAGCTGCGAGAACATCGAGGTGATCAACGACGCCCATGAACATGCGCAACACCAGAGAAACTGCAGATGTGTTGCCTTTAAGAAAATGATAGGCTCGCTTCTTGAAGGACCGTAAGTCGTATTGGTTTGGAAATACCGTCGAGGACAGACCGTTTCACCACGCAATGCCAAGGCAGAAAGTTCCACGAAAACCGCACGGTTGCAACTACTTTCGTACCTAAACAATTTCGAACAGGTAAACAATTAAATGAATATTCTAGACGATTAATATAGACACTTGATAAAATGCTCTGACATAATGAATTAGAATTCCAACAAGCTAAATTGGTTTGCCTCTTAAGACGTGAGATGCGTTACTCTCGGAAGTACAACGTAAGTGTGCAATAATAATTAGAACAACTTAGCGACGCTCAAGTCGGCAACTCCAGCTTGTTAATGTCTGCTTGTAAATGATAACGACACAACTGATGATATTTAACGAAATAACAAAATTAAGAATTTAACCTTGAATTTCGCCTGACGAAATTTTGAATCGTTACCGTAGAAAGAAAAAGATATCTATTTTAAATTGAAAAAAAAATCAACAAATGGCATTATATTTATAAGCTTAATATAGAAGTTGTCTTTTCATCGATTTAATTATAAGTGACAGTAACAATTTATGGGGTGCTTGATCTATAATCGGCTTGTACCATTTAATACTAGAACAGCACCCCTTCTGTTAGACTGTAAAAGTGTTAAAAACGCTACCCCGAGGGGCAGGTAATATTATTCATTATACACAACCATTATAGGTTTACTTTCTATATACTGTCAGCTTTTCTGAGATAAATTAAAAAGAGTATATTAAAATAAAGGAAATAGTCGTAAGTTATGCCTAAAGTAGCATGTTTTAACTATCGTCATGACTATTGACCAGGCGTTATTGAGCACCAACTGTAGTGAATTTAAAGTAATTTATAGGAAGTTAACGATTTGTTTGTCTCGCCTACGATGTATTTATTTTCCTCAACACAAGGCCGTTAGAAGATGGAGGACGTCCACAATAAGCAGACGACCTACACACAAATTTACTATAAATTGCAACAACGATTTTGTTTCCTTGTTCTGGACAAATAACATATAATTTGTACTGAGAACTAAATTGTTAAATTAGTTACAATTTAATGTGCTATTTTCGGACTTATCAGCGGAAAGACAAATATAGTTGCCACTTCCTATAAACTTTATAACTTAAACTAAATAATAAATCGTTAAAATTGTGTTTTAATGTACATGTATAAAAACAAGCAATTACAAAGGTGCAGATAAAACTGAATCATTCTTTTTATATTACTTAAAAACATTAACATCAGATAATAATAAAAAAATAGCCACCTTTTTATCCATTCATTCAACTATTGATACTAATAACCTTTGATATACTGCAAATATTACAACAATAAGACTATTCACATATAGTGGACTATAGAAAACACAACATAAAATATACAACACAGCAGCCTCATAATTTAAAATTAATCTGTGGTTTTCGGTACAATTCCATTCAAATTAATCCAGTTGTGTACAATAATCAAGACCAACAAAACAACATCAATTAATTGGTTTTTAATGCATTATAAAATTAAAAACAAATGAACACAAATATATTGTTAATTGAAGCATAAATGAAATATGCAAGGCGAATAAGATAAAATGTTACTTACTGTACAGCAATATCAGGGATCTGATATGGCCCATGATAGCCGGTAGGAGCGGCTTTCATGAAGCGGCACACGGGCGTACAGTGCTCTGTGAGTTTATTAGTCTTGTTAGTAGCACTAAAATACATTATTATGTTAAATTAACCTTTAAAAAGCTCATGAACCGGCGCCAATGATGTGATACCATGTCCTCGACCATCAAATGTTATAAATAAATTCCTATAATTCAAACAGTCTGCTGCTGGTCTGCAATATATTTAACTTTAAGTAGGCTATAATATAAGGTGTTAGTGTTGAGCCAATCTGTATAACAAACTATCAACTGTCAGTTGGGTCAATTAATTCTTTGGATGCAAACAGCTAGTTTAGTTGACCATTGTATTGATCAGCCCAATGGAAAATTCCCATTATTTCTGCATGGGTATAACATATAAAAGATAATTGAGATACTTTTACTTTTCTCTTTTTTATCTAATCAACATCTATTCTGTTATTGTTATTGATGATTTAAATGAAATACACTATATAAAAAAGCAAAATCCCAATGGCATTTATGAATTGATATTGAAAAAAATTTACCCTAATCCAATAGCTTTGTTAGTGGAAATGTTTCTAAAAGAAAGAAAACTCACCTGTAAGACCTCTGTATCCAAATATGCCACAGTCATGCATGCGCATAGAGAGCTGTTCATCCTTTATAAATTTCTCAGTGCTTATGCCTTTTAGCTGAAATTAATGTAGTAAAGATATTTAAAAAGCACTTCAAATGAGAGAATAGACATTCTATGCTATAATAAAAAAAGTCAAGAGAATACCTTAGAAGGTACAAGGAAGCGATCTGGTATTCTTTGTAACTTTTGTTGCTTTTCACTGGGGCCAAAGCCAAGTGCCAATAGAACTGACTCAGCATCCACTTTCCTGGCTCCAAGCACATTCAGCACTGAACTGCTACTTGATCCACTTGCATCTGACTAAAATAGATATTAAATGTTAAATATAGTAAGATAACAATAAATTTATCATTTATAAAAGAAATTTTTTGGTTCTTTAAAGATTCTTATCAAACCTCAACCTCTAAAGAACATCATGTTCTTTTGCATGTTAGTTTTATGAAAAGAAAATTACCTGTAAAGAGTGATCTCTGAGCAATGGATTCTTAAATCTAGGTACACATCCTTCTGATTGAACTGAGTGATCCCTTTGGAGTTTCTTCTTAACACTTTTATTTGGTGTACTTGTAAGCATCCCACTCTCTAAAGATTTCCGCTTCCATATTTCTCTTTGTGTTGGGACATCTAAGTTTTTATCATCTTTAAGTTCTACATTACTTGCTTCAACCACAGTGTTCTCGGTCACAGAATCATCTGCTTTGTTTTCATCGGAGTATGTGGTTTCCACTTGGTCTTCAGCTGGTTTCTCCTCAACCTCAGTGTCTGTGGGCAGTGAATCTAGCCATTGTTGTACTGGACTGCTCCGCCTCATGTCTTCAATGACTCCGCTGAGCCAACCACGGACTTTCCGTTCTATTATAGATGAAACAGTCTCATTAAAAGTATCTGTAAGTAAGGAAATCCTATGATTATCCTGAATGATTAATTCTTAGTTCAAAGTTGAAATTCACATAACAGATTAATCCTTAATTCAAAGTCAAAATTCACATTACAGATTTAAGAATATACGAGCATAAGTATATTTTTACCACATCTTTTAGATAAATCGTCCTTGTAATATTCTTAACTATTCTTAACTTTTTTTGTAATCCAGATTTGTAATATACGAGACGGTACACATAATTCAACAAGGGAATTTTAATAACAATCACTCGTAATATTTATAGTACAAAGGATTCGACATTCTGATTCTATAAATGTTTGCTAAAACAAACCTTGTTTAGGTTCCATCCCTTGTAATACGAGGCTGCATGCAAGAGAGGAGAGGTAAAACATTCATAGGTTTCAATAACACAGGCAACTTACTCGTTTTAAATAATGAAAATTTTAATCTCCACTTACCTCTAAGCTACGCGTATGCGTTTTACTATTTGTATGAGAAAACACTACGCTTAACTACACTAATGCAAAACATATACACTACCCAGCAGCACAGAATAAAATGCAGTTTTTTGTAATTGTTACAGATTGCTGTTTTGACACTGACAGTCAAACTGACATTCTTGGAAGCATTTGTCATTGTCGTATTTGGCACATAATATGACATTTTAAATTGACAGATAGCAAATGTTGCAAGCTACAAACATTTTTCTATGCAAAAAATACATTTATCAAATCGAATGCGTGATATCATTTTCTATGAAAAGAACGAACTGCGTAACGTTTGGCAAGGTAAGGTTGTGATCACTTTACATAAAGTAAGGTACTTTACGCTGCACTAATAATGGCCTAATTCCATGAAATAAACAGATAAGATAGAACTGGAGAGAAATAATAGAGATGGCTCTCTATGTATATAACATTTATTTTTTCCGAAACATGGCCACAAACGTACCGTTTACGCAGACCTGTTGAGCCCCTTTTGTTCAGCGCCCTGGGCGGTGAAACTAACCGCGCGCTACCCGAACTGATAAACTGATATTTAGTTTCGATACTTACTAATTTGCATTGGCGTTATTTGTTTGATGTTGTAATATCTATACAGGTGATTCTTAACGCACTGATCAACGGTTTTGTGGAGGTAGAGGACCTCTATAGCTATAACTTAAAGCAAAGTATGTTGCCCGATTTTCTAGTCTTAAAGTTACTGTGGTCCTCTACCTCTACAAAACCGTTGATCCGTCCCTTAGGAATCATACTGCTTATTTGTGTGTCGAAGCTTTAAAGCTGGAAGTTGGGGAGAGGGACTTTAGTGAGGGTTGCAGTATGTAGATCATGGCCCAATGCTCGTAAGAAGATCAATGCCAATAATTAGGATGGATAAAAAAGGTGGATGACAATATTCAAATGAAACGTTTTCTATAAATAAAGAATATTTATTTTTCTATAAACACATTATCTTTTTTATATTATCATTAATGTTTTCTTCTTATAAATCGCAAAACGCATTGGGCTTTCGTCAACGAAGTCGTGTGCGTGGATGGAGAAGAGTTCAGCGGGGCCCGCGGCGCCGCACCGAGGCCGAGCGCCCGGCGCTCACGACGCCTCCACTAAACAATTTGTGCATCGAGGTTTGGTAGAGATTACTTTAATCGCTAAATCACATTTGGACACTAATATACATGTATAACTACGGTCGACGAGTGTCAATTTTGAGCAGTGGAAGAGTTGCCGCGGGCGGGGATTGCGCGCGGCGCGCAGCCGGCGTCACGCGGGTCCGTACACGCATTCGCCGCGGCGCGCACCAGCCGCCTGCTCCCCTGGCAGCACGGCGGCACGCCGCCACTCGTCGCGCACGCGCTCCACGTGTCGCAGAACACGTATCACATTGAGACCCGCCACCTTGCGCACGTCTTCCTCGCTCCAATCGGGATCGCGCAGCAGCTCGGCCAGGAGGTGAGGGTAGCGCGACACGTCTTCCAGCCCCTCGGGCGGCGCGTCGATACCGTCGTAACCCGCGCCTAGGCCCACGTGTTCGACGCCCGCCACCTTCCGCACGTGATTGATATGAGTCACCACGTCCTCGACCGTCGCACGTTCGCCACACGTTACTAATTTTGCATAAAAATTTATCATCACAACGCCACCGTTAGCGGCGATCTTACGCAGGAGCTCGTCCGGAACATTTCTCGTCGAATTGCAAATCGCAGCGGCACCAGAATGCGAAAAGACCACTGGTGCGCGTGACGTTTCGATGGCGTCCAGCGCCGTCTCCTCGCCGGCGTGCGAGAGATCTACGATCATTCCGAGGCGATTCATTTCTCGAACGACGGCGCGACCGAACTCAGTGAGTCCACCCGGAGTGCCAGCGGCGCGCGCCCATCTATTATCACACGTGTGCGTCACTGTCAGGTATCGAGCGCCCAGTTGGTAAAACGCGCGTAATACTGCAAGCGAGTCACCCAGAGCATGTCCACCTTCGACGCCGATTAAAGATGCAATTCTCCCCTCTCTATGAGCATCTAATAACTCTGAGGCTTCGGTAACCAGGGCAAGGTGAGCTGCATTCATTTCTACTATCCGCTTGATAACGTCCATCTGTTCGAGAGCGAGTTGGACGGCGTCGCGGTCTTTGGCGCCGCAGGGCACGTACGCCGACCAAAACTGCGCACCGACCTGGCCGAGCCTGAGCCGCGGAATATCCGTGTGCGACCAGCGCGAGCGCGCCCACGGCTCGAGGCCCTCGAGGCCGGCAGAGAGATTGAAGTCGTTTATTTTATTATGAAGAAATTTTCTAACGTTCCACGCTAAGTCATTATGTCCATCAATAAGGGGTGAGTCTCGTAACATGCGGCGTATGGTGACGAGGCGTTGTTCCGGAGTGGCGCGGCCGCCGCCGCCCAGGGCCAGTGGTAGGCCCAGTGCAGCGCCGAGCGCCGCCAGCACGACGAGCGCTGCAAGCGCGATGCGCCAGCGCGGCCGTCGCGGTGTCGGCTTCTCGTCGGAGCTGCCCGAGGCGGAGGCCGACAGGGAGTCGGGCGCCCAGCGGCCACACCGCTCCGCCACATCCGGCAGTGAACCAGGAAAGGTCATTCCTTCTGGAACTGCCGCCTTTAACAAAACAAAGAAGATATAATTATTATTTAAAATTAGTTAAAAACAGGTTAAGTAAGTAATACTTGCGACTTAAGTGTATAACTAACTTATTTTTTAATTTGTAACTTTTAAAAATACCTAGTGCTTTGTTAAGTTTTAAATGTACCTATAAACAATTGTCAATAGTGTTGAAAGTAATAAAACAAACATACTAGCAACTGAAGTTGTTAAAACACAAACTTTTGAAAAGAAGATGCATAAAAGGGAAGCTGGACTCGAATAAGAATATTGGTCCCCGATCATTAGCTACTCGTAGTTTCTGTGTAAAATTGAAACATGAAAAGGCTTACACTTTTTAATTAGCCCCTTCTTTATCACTGTTCCTCTGTTTCAAATGAAGCGGAAAAAATAAAGAAACCAATACGCTCCAGATGAAAGTACGGACGCTCGCTTGTATAAAATAGTAAGTACATGTTTCAAGCAATTATTGTTCTTGGGTCACGGACATTCTGCGCTTGTTTTTGACTGTATCAGAGATGAAGCTTTTAAAATTACCCTCCTGTTGTAATGGAGACGGCATAAAACTATTTGATTGATAAGAAATGTTTCGTGGATATGTTTTTATCGTGCGGTCCTGTGTGTCTAATATGTAACAAATAAAAATAGATAACTATTATAAACAAATATTAACCTACTTTGAAATATATAAATAAAAACAACGTTGCAAATTGTTACATTTTCTTCATGAATTGAAATTCAGGTAAGAAACTACCGTTACTTTATTAATGCGAACTGTACCGGATTCTGCGAGGTTGCATATGGTTATGTTATCATTCTAGTGATATTATTTTTTAACTTTATAATAGTACTTGTGTTAAAATGCCAAAGTTAGAATGGATGGATGGATGTTTGTACGAGTTAGTAGCCTAAACGGCTGAACGGATTTCGATGAAATTTGGTATAGATGTAGAGGTTTGTCTGGAAAAACATATAGGCACTTTTGTTTTTTTTTCATTCTACGCGGATGGAGTCGCGGGCGAGTTAGCGATTCATATCTCTATGTAGTAGATAACTAGATATACGAGCATAGTATTTTATACTTATACACTGTCAGAAACAATAGTTCGTTATGCATTAATTTCCTCTCTCATGACTTGATTGTTTAGTGATTATTAGTTTGAATGGATAAACGTTGTGTAAGTACGAAACTTTGCAAACAATGCGGTTCCGCGCTTGTACATTATAATTTATTATTCCGCCTGCTTTAATCCTGGCTTGGTTCCTGATTAAATATATAATCTCCCAGACGTGGCGCTTACGTACAGATGGATTTAAATGACTCCTTCTTGTTTAAGGCAAATGGATAACATGTTGTAATACCACGTCATTAGTAACATGCCATATAAATATTCTTCAACAAATTAAGTATAGAGTTAGAAGAATAATGAAAGCACATTTCACATTAAAACGTATAAGTTTCAATGACGGTAGAGGTAATCCTAATACTTATACCTATACTACTACTTGAACTTAACTTTATATCGACATAAAGATATCCTTTTCTTTTAAAGTTACGACATTTAATAATTTAACCCCTTGAATATTAAAACGCAAAAGAAATAAAAAATCTGAAAGTAGATTATACAGTCCCCCTGAAGGAAGAATTAAAACATTTGTCATTATGTTTCAAAGACTATAAAAGTGCGCCGGACGTTTATAATTCACTGTAATTAACCTTCCGGGATGATGAGCATTAAAGTATTCTTTAATTATTCTCTGAATCAGTAACTAAGTTACTTTGGGTTCTCATTAGAGCAACCCTATATTTCTTTCTGGTTACATTATGAATGCTTAGTTTAACTTATATTAACTAATTCTCGTTTTGCTGTAAAATAGTTACACTTTCTTAATTTCTCTCTTATTTCTTTTTTAAAATAAGAGAAGAAAAAAACTGCTCAACAGTTCTAGTGTCCCTGTTCAATTGCGGTGACCCAATTTCTTCTGTGTCTGTTGTACTATCATGAAATTATAACTAGATTTACAACTAATGTATTAAGATAACTAAAGTAAGAAAAGTATGTCAATTATTAGTCCCTTTTATGTATTTAAGAAACACGTTTTGTTAAATCATGCTTGTATAAAAACAAAAGTTATAAACGAATGCAAATATTCTTATAAGTATTGTGTCGCTTATTCAAATATATTATTGACATTGGGCTTATATGTAATTTAATGATTAACACTGTAACAAACATTGTAAATCCATTTTATGACATGGTCATAAGTAAAAATCAGTCTAAAAAAATCTCAAGTTTTGCCAGTTCTTTAAACTATTGTTGTTTTTAAATTTTTACTAAAATTGAGCTCTACGTGATTATGAATTTTGTAAGCACATATTAACTAATATTTGGTCGGTTATGACATAGGAACAAGACGGTAGAATTCAAGAGCTTGAGATGTTTGTATCTCCGGGCATGACAATAATTTGCCGCGCGTTCAATTATGCAAGGGGCACACATAATACGGGAGGTGCCAGGGGGGACCTCAATAGCCTCTGACCCATTTACAAAGGGAACTGGTCCGAAGGCCTCTGAGCGTGGGGGTTTTGCCCCCCTAATGTATTAATAGTGTTTTATAAATGTTACCTTAACATAAACGTAATTACACCAAATAATTAACATAGTTTTGCTATTACAAGTTGTGAAGCTAATTTAATAATCTACAAAAATAATCCTTTTTCTTCGTCAACTAACATATTTTTTTATTCATTTATTTGAACTTTCTCACAATTTCATTTTAATACATCATGGCACACGATTAAGACCTTTTTAGTATACTATATATTACATTAATTTATTGTATTCTTGTACTACTGGTAGTATCTGAAAAACAAATGGATTACTGTCAGAAGAAGTGAAAGCAGTTCTATCAGTTTATGAACATTGATGTGATCTTCTCCTGTTTACTTAGGTGGATAGTAGCTCCATGTTACAGAAATACAAGCAAAATCCTTTTGCTACTCAGCACAAAAAGAACAAAAACGGTGACGAAAAGTGGATCTATTGTTTCGAAGTTAAAAATAAAAGGCAATCCGCAGAACGAGTGTTTCCTTTCAAAGAGTTATCACCTCTCGCCTCGAGCCGACTGTGGGAATAAAAACAAAATAACACTGAATGCACAACAGCGGAAGCCGTTCCCCTGCTGCTTTGATAATAGGCCCGGCGAAAATGTTAAAGGATATAAATAGGCTCATTTTTAGTTGCCTTTGTTACTGTAACACTGACTGCATTTCGACTGATTTTTCAAATAGTTACGTTACAATTGTTAAAATAATCAGTTGTTATTATAGTAGCTATTTTCAGGGGTCTCAATTTTCGGTGATTACATTGTCTATATATTGATCACATTAGACTTCCTAAAACACAAACTTGATTTCGCATATGTGTTAATAGGTCTTACCCATTCCTAGTAATGATAGTAGATTATTAACATATTTGTAGCATAGGAACATAATCCCGCCATACACGTGAAGTTAAAACTGTGCGTATGTAGTTGACTTAAAACAGATTATTAAGAATTAATAAAAATTTACATTTTTTCTTTCTAAAATTTAATTATGTAAAGTAGAACAAGACACATTTTGATGGCAAAGAATTTAAAAGATTTCTGAGCTCTGTAGGAGCGGACGGATAGTAGGTACTGTATAACGCAACAGCTGCCCCTTTCTATGGAAACGCCAGTCGTTGTTTCCACGTCTGTAGAATTCAGGGCAGCTAGCTTGTTAAATCTTCTTGATTAAATGCCATATTTACAACGAAAATTTTCACTTTCTGAGCTGCTTTTTGAGTTGACAATACAATTCGTTAAATGACAACCCTAAAGTTTTAGTTGGATAAAAATATTTTTATTATTAACACAATGAATTACGTAAAACCAGTGAAGTACATTCTACCATGATCTTAGGATCACAATATTTAGCTCGTAATTTTATTGGATATAATAGAATAATTTAAGACGTAAGACGACAGTAGGCCATTTATCTACGTTTCTGTAGTAAATTAGTGAAGTAGAAGCCGAAATGCACATGTCTTTGATCAAAGACACTCCGTCGTTCTAATTGTGAGCAATAATTTGTCGGGGCTTAGCGGGCTTTGTTCCCGGCGCGAAATGTTACGACCTTGCGATTCCTAACTTGAACGCAAACATTCCTATTTAAGAGGAAATGTATCACAAATTAGTGTACAATATTACTTACGTTCAGTGTATGTTTTATATGATTTTGATAAATACTGAGCGCGTACAGGTGCAGAATTTACCCATTATTTATCTTCATTTCAGTTAACAAATTATTTAAAAGATGTAACATGACATTGCTATTTTATTATGTTTAAATTATTTAGTTAAGCTATATCTACTATCGACAAAATATGTAACAAATGGATTGAATGGCTTACATACAATTACATATGTAGAAAACTTCATGTAGCGAGAATGCATGGATGTCAAGTTGAAGAATAACTTTGAATTTCACAATGAGTATGTCGGGATATTTTAATTTTAGTTCAGATGTAATATGAAATATGCACAACATTTTATAAAGCTTATTTCCATTCGATTTCTAAGATTATTTTTGCTTGGCAAACATTTTTATTCAAATTTCATGACACAGGAGCGCCCAAGTAACTAGTTCCACTTTTATCATTTTTCTTTGTGAAAGGAAACAATATCAAACACTTCGATGCATACATCATGCAATATTATATAACGTCACTATAACCGGGACATTAAGGCTTCTAGGCGGGCGCTATACGACGCTCCCATACTTTGTTTTATGCGTTCCAAATTACACTCTTCTCTTCTCCTTTTATCGGATTTCGCGCACAATTTAGCACAGTAAGGACTAATTTTGTAGCCTTAGTTACTGTTTTGTGTGGCAAGCTTATCGTTATTCAAATATCAGAATTATTACTATGGTGGAAGATATTGTAACATAGTTATGAGTGATTTAATAACGA